CCCCAAAAGGCGCTATAGGGGAAGCGGGGGGAGCACCGCCACCTTAAGCATTTCTGCTCACCGAGCTGATATGCGTAGTAAAAACGAAGCTCTTTTGCATTCATGTGAAAGTAGGGATGTTTTCCTACATGTTGGCAAAGTTTCCAGCGCTCCATTATAAAATTTCGCTACTTTACACAGACATTGAAAACAAGTCCTGCATTTTTCGTCCTCCAAAAATGTGCGGGTAGCACCGCCACCGATGACGGTGTTATCCACAGATCGGCCTTACGGTGACAGCCGTCCTTGGTAGCGTTACTGCTGTCTGAAATAGTAACTCATACTCATATAAGCCACACAAGAGTTGGTTGTTAGTTTGTCACAGATCAGACTGTTCGGTGCGGACGATATGCATAGAAAGCCTGGCAAATTCACATTTATTTCGAAACATCCAGTGACGTCGAACGTGAGGTTAAAAAACAGACGGGGCGTTCCACGACAAATCGACAAGTGCCCTGCACCCTCATATTTTATTTTTTGCTCAAAATTGGTCTAATGGGTTGTGATGGGCGGGGAAGCCAGCTGTGGCAAGGATTTTTTTCTTCGAACAACGGTTTCCGAGATATAGCCTCGGGCAATTCTTGGAGTTCGCGCTGCAGCCCTATGTTTGGCGGCCTATAACTCAGAAACTATTGGTTTTTTACGATAAAAACTTCATATGGTTCAACTCAAAATCAACCAACAAACATTTTGGCTATCTCGGATTTTCAATTTTTGAAAATTTTGATCACGTGACCTTTTGTCCTATTTTTCGAAGAGTGACCTTGATATTTTCCCCACTGAAAGTTGCAATTTTGTCTGATGACGATTAAAGCCTTATCAATTGTCATTCATATGCGATAATAAAAAAAGTGGTTATCGCCCTGCGTTGACCTCAGGTCAGGTCGTTTTTATGACCTGTCCATTTTTACGAGCTGGAGCGACAGCGAGATCTCGAGAATAAAGCAAGATAGCGACAAGCGGTAAACGGTAAAGGGTACACACGGATAAGGTCTATAATTTTTACTGAGGTCATTTTCAGGTCAGGTCAAAGATGACGTCACAGGAGCTAAAAGGAAGTCCAAATAGCGGTACTATACATATATATGAAGTTTTTCTCGAATAACTTTCAAGGTATCCCAGCTAGGAACAAACTAATAGCACCATCGTGATCCTCTCGTCCATCCGCATCGAAACATATGTATGTTGACCTCGAAAGGTCGAAAGGTCAAAAGTTGACCTTAGGTCACGTGATCTACGGTCAACTTTTGACCTTTCGATCTTTCGAGGTCAACATACATATGTTTCGATGCGGATCGACGAGAGGATCACGATGGTGCTATTAGTTTGTTCCTAGCTGGGATACCTTGAAAGTTATTCGAGAAAAACTTCATGTATATGTATAGTGCCGCTATTTTGACTTCCTTTTAGCTCCTGTGACGTCATCTTTGACTTGACCTGAAAATGACCTCAGTAAAAATTATAGACCTTATCCGTGTGTACCCTTTACCGTTTACCGCTTGTCGCTATCTTGCTTTATTCTCGAGACCTCGCTGTCGCTCCCGCTCGTAATAATGAACAGGTCATAAAAATGACCTGACCTGAGGTCAACGCAGGGCGATAACCACTTTTTTATTATCGCATATGAATGACAATTGATAAGGCTTTAATCGTCATCAGACAAAATTGCAACTTTCAGTGGGGAAAATATCAAGGTCACTCTTCGAAAAATAGGACAAAAAGTCACGTGATCAAAATTTTCAAAAATTGAAAATCCGAGATAGCCAAAATGTTTGTTGGTTGATTGTGAGTTGAACCATATGAAGTTTTTATCGTAAAAAACCAATAGTTTCTGAGTTATAGGCCGCCAAACATAGGGCTGCAGCGCGAACTCCAGGAATTGCCCGAGGCTATATCTCGGAAACCGTTGTTCGAAGAAAAAAATCCTTGCCACAGCTGGCTTCCCCGCTCATCACAACCCCTTACACCAGTTTTCAACGAAGAATAAAATATGAGGGTGCAAATTTAATTTTTTATTTGTCGATTTGTCGTGGAACGCCCCAGACGACGTTTGCGGCCTAACTAAAGCTCTTCTCCAAGCTGAGTGAGTCTTCATTGCGGCTTTATCCATTTTGCCACCCCTGGGGGTAGCACCGCCGAGCATGGCGGTGTTACCCCACACACAGTCATGGACCGACAACGTCCCGACGGGAAAACAAGCCGGGACGCGATTCTTCTGTTATTCCTTTCTCAACGAAGAGCACTTCATGCCCTCAAATTCAACGTAAAAATCGAGATATTTTGACTTGAAATGACCACCTACTTGCTGCTAAAACATGCCAAATGATTACAACGATAGTTAGAAATTCACAAAATGGGCTATTGCGATCTTAAAATCAAATAAATCTTAGCGAAACCTACCTCACGCGGCGCCCCGCTTCCGTTCGGACACCGAAATGGCGGGTGTTAACATTTGCCATTCAGAGTTTTGCCGATAGAGGGGATGGCGGTGTTGCCCACATTGCGGTGCTACCCCCGCTTCCCCTACTGGTTTATATTTTCCACTTCTTAGCAGGGAGTGCCGCGACTTGATCAATTTATTATGTTACCTGGTGTTAAAGTAAGGTCTCTGTGGGTCGCCGGGACTGTGAGAGTGGGCACTCCTGGTTACCTGATCATGGGTAACGGACTATCTTAGAAAAAAAATAACAGCACAAAAGAAGGTTTAATCATTTTTTTTTTCTCAAAAATAGCCGTTCTTCCGCATCTTTCAGTGCAAGGTGCCGTCGGTCATCCCCGACGTTACGTCACGCCGGAGATTGCCAGATTTTCCTACTAGACTTCGACGCCCCCTGACCTGCACCACTCGTCTCTCTCTACCTACTCCCTCCCTCTCTCCCTCATTTTCATCCCGAGCCGCCGCGCGTTCACCGCGCGCCGCGTCGTCCCGGGCCCCCTAGCTGATAAGATGGCTTATTAGTATCACCTCCCCTTTTATCTCTACCGCCTGTCCCGAGCCGCCACGCTAAGAGTGTCTGCGTTTATATAATACTGAACGAGGCCGGTGTAAATAAATTTTCAAGACCGAGGTCCTTACTGGATTTTTGAACGAGGCCGAAGGCCGAGTTCAAAAATCAGTAAGGACTGAGGTCTTGACAATTTATCACCGGCCGAGTTTGGTATGTATTTTACTGTATGCCAACGATAAATTTATTTTCTGGACCGAAGCTCTTAGCCGACATAGGAACGAGACCATCCCAAAATGTTGGCTTAAGTGCATTCTGGTAATGCATTTTTGACCGTGGTCAATTTGCTTACACCAGTTATTACCACACCCCTCTGGCTAATGTATTTGAATAGGCCAGGCATACAGTAAGTTCCCTTACCGCTGATAAGACACCCTATCGCTGAGTAGGACATAGGTATTACCACATTTATATGTAAAAACAATCTTTGGTGGGTTTCAGGCTTCAGCCTAGCAGGAAAGACTATAACATATTATACCTCAACATACATACCTCAACCAAGGCAGTATAGACATCGCCTATCTATATCATCCTTGATCGTAGCCATCGTAGCAGACAACAGCCCCCGGTCCCATAAGAATTCAAATAGGACCCCAACTCATTGCAGGTTCTCATTTTGTTATACCTATCTATTTAGCGATCACACAATATTTTTCTCAGTCTAATTGCATTCTTTGTGACGAAATTTATAAGAAAATATTACAGTAAGTAATTCTTATTTCATTTACTAAAGCTCTTGATCATTTAGACGAAAAACGCATCCTAGCAAAACAACGAAGGGGTAGTGGTAGAGGGACGGAACCTTTATAATACCCAGAAATAACGGAATCGTTTTATTCATTGAGTTCTCTTTTTTCCTTCCGTCCCTCCGTCCTTTTTCTTTATAAGAATGGTCTCTGGACGCTGAAGATAAAAAACGGACTGTGAGGCACCTCCGGACACGTGCCGAAACGGTGCATCAAAAGAAGGGGCGGGGCGGATATGTAGGATAAGTTTGAGTGACGTTGATATCGTCTTTATATATTCAAATGTTCAACAATTGCGGATGAAATGATGTGAAAAGTCCTAAGAAAGCCTTGTTATTATGTGCATTATGACCTTTTACTTTTTGACACTTTTAGTGAAACACCCTGTATCTATTATGGCAAATGATAAAACCATTACAGGTTTGCATAGGCTTCACCACTTCCAATGTTACTGGGCATCCTTAAGCATGATTTTCACAGGTTAGACTGCTAATCAGATTGTAAATTTAAGCGTCAAAAATTTTTATATTTCAGTTTTTAAGATGGAGCTTAAAATCTCACGGCCGTGGCCACAGCCGTAGCCATGCTTTTGGAGATATTTGCAGCCGCCCCCCCCCCCCCCCCACACAGCCGTGGGGATGTAGCCAGCCGCGGCTGCAGCCGGCCGGTGCAGACCTCTACAGTGCCCCCACCTTATGGAAATCATGGATCTGCCTCTGACAGACGCTTTCAAAGGGCCCCTCCATTAGCAAGTTTGTTACATGGTCTCTGATTCATACTTCCGAAATGATTGCAGGCTCAGGCCGGACTTGAATCGTTCTTTTCTGTACTGGAATTGTAAAGTAGGCTTTCAAAATGCTGACCGGAAAAATAATTTTTTGCTCATGCCAATTGTGCTTGATTTTGTAAGAAAATACACCTAAGTATGCCAATTCTACATTGTAACTCTTGTAACAGTAGTTATGAAGCAGCCTGTGTGTACGAGAGCCGGCGGTGTGCCGACTCGGTGGCCCCGGCTGCTGGTCAATCCTAGCGCGCGCTGTGCGTTGGCTCGGCCCGATCCGCTGAACTGTGTGTACGAGAGCCGGCGGTGTGCCGACTCGGTGGCCCCGGCTGCTGGTCAATCCTAGCGCGCGCTGGGCGTTGGCTCGGCCCGATCCGCTGAACTGCCGCCCGTGGCTGATGCTGCTGTGACCGCGCTGTGTTGCAGGTGACCTGCAGAGGCTGGTGGTGGCTACCACGTGGCGCGCTAACCCGCTGGGCGCGCTCACCGTTTGCTTTGTGGGCGTGCAGCTGGTGCTGCTGGTGGGCTCGCTCAACCAGATCGCCCGCTTCACGTCCATATTCTTCCTGCTGTCCTACTTTTCCGTACACCTGGCCACACTAGGACTGGAGTGGGCTTCTGCGCCCAACTTCCGGTGAGTAGACGAGCACCATGCCTTGCGCCAGGGGTCTGGCGGGTGGCGGGTCCAGGGAGGAGCCACTGACTGGGGAAGGTCGGACGGGCCAGGGGTCTGACCAGGGGTCTGGCGGGTGGCGGGTCCAGGGAGGAGCCACTGACTGGGGAAGGTCGGACGGGCCAGGGGTCTGGCGGGTGGCGGGTCCAGGGAGGAGCCACTGACTGGGGAAGGTCGGACGGACCAGGGGTCTGGCGGGTGGCGGGTCCAGGGAGGAGCCACTGACTGGGGAAGGTCGGACGGACCAGGGGTCTGGCGGGTGGCGGGTCCAGGGAGGAGCCACTGACTGGGGAAGGTCGGACGGACCAGGGGTCTGGCGGGTAGCGGGTCCAGGGAGGAGCCACTGACTGGGGAAGGTCGGACGGGCCAGGGGTCTGGCGGGTGGCGGGTCCAGGGAGGAGCCACTGACTGGGGAAGGTCGGACGGACCAGGGGTCTGGCCAGGGGTCTGGCGGGTCCAGGGAGGAGCCACTGACTGGGGAAGGTCGGACGGACCAGGGGTCTGGCGGGTAGCGGGTCCAGGGAGGAGCCACTGACTGGGGAAGGTCGGACGGGCCAGGGGTCTGACCAGGGGTCTGGCGGGTGGCGGGTCCAGGGAGGAGCCACTGACTGGGGAAGGTCGGACGGGCCAGGGGTCTGACCAGGGGTCTGGCGGGTGGCGGGTCCAGGGAGGAGCCACTGACTGGGGAAGGTCGGACGGACCAGGGGTCTGACCAGGGGTCTGGCGGGTGGCGGGTCCAGGGAGGAGCCACTGACTGGGGAAGGTCGGACGGGCCAGGGGTCTGGCGGGTGGCGGGTCCAGGGAGGAGCCACTGACTGGGGAAGGTCGGACGGCACCGGACAACCAGACGCTACCGGTTAACCTGAGGCCTTAACCCGCGCACCGACGGGGGGCGGATATCCGCCCCCCCCCTGAGGTTTTTCGCGAATAGCGGGAAAACCGCGGCGCTTGGTACGACTATTCCTTCATCAATTTTACACATGGTGTGCAAGTTTGAACCTCCTACCTTTTAAGGTCAGGTCACCAGGTCACTTTGAATGACCCAACCTCAAGTCACTTTTTTGCAACTTTGTTACCGTGCCAGAGCTACAGTAGATGTCGGAGGCCTTTGAAAGTCGCAGGATGTGATTAGGTCATCAGTAGCTACAATTTGTATATCTCGGAATTTTGATATCGGTGACCTAAGGTCAGGTCAATTTCGCGACCTCCCCATTTTAAGTCAATGGGGGAAAAATCAAATCCCTATTTTTACCACTAAAACGGGTCGGAATGGCCCCATATACCATACATGACTTCATATACGATCAACCTTCACTACCTTGAGGTCTGTTTTGCTGTTGGGCAGCTGTGAGGTCATGTGACGTCATCAAAGGTCACCAAAGGTTTTTGGCCAATAACTCCGTACAGGAGCAAGATAAAGCCGCGTGGATGGTCTCATTGTGTTCAGCTCGTCAAGACGCATCGAATGATATACATGATGACCTCGAGGTCACGTGACCTGAGGTCAACCTTTGACCTTGACCTTTCGAGGTCAACATATATATCATTCGATGCGGATTGACGAGAGGATCACGATGATGCCCTTAGTTTGTTCCTATCTTGACTAATTCGAAAGTGATTCGAGAAAAACTCTCTCCATATCTAGCGCCGCCATTTTGACTTTTCCGACCCCTGTGACGTCATCTTTGACCTGACCTGAAAATGACCTTAGTAAAAATTGTAGATGTTGACCGTGCGTATCCGATGCCGTTTACCGCTTGTCGTTATCTTGCTTCGTTCTCGAGATCTCAGGGGGGCGGTCATCCGCCCCCCCCCCCTCGTCGCTGCGAAGTTGGCGCAGACCCCCGTCGGTGCGCGGGTTAAAATCGGGTACCAATCGCTGCGACTTGTAACGGCACACACGCTCGTTTTTTCCGCGAGGCTCTAGCTCTATTAGAATCGAAACGGCGTGCGGGGTTCGTATTAACCCCTCCAAAACCCATTTTGTTTGCGGGAAAATGAGGAACTTATAGAAAGAACCCCCCGTCTAATTTTTTGCATGTCGATTTGCAATGAATTGAAGTTTATTTTGAAAAAAAATGTGAAAAAATTTTGTCCCAAAAGTCATTAGAGGCAAATGAAAAAAGATAAAGGTTTTTGTTCAACAATGAAAATTTCTCTTTGGAATTTTTAAATAGTAATATTACTTTTTGCTTCTTCGCAAGCTTAGTGTTGTTTACCGTTTCTTGGTTGCCTAACCCGTTCTTGAGTTATATATAGGCCATCAAACTCACCGTTACAAACCGAAGTTAAAAAAATGTAATGCAATATAACCAGTGGCGTATCCAGGGGGAGGCCAAGAGGCCATGGCCTCCCCCTTTGGCATCAAACATGCAATTGGGCCCTTTGGGTCACTTGAGTGCAGTGACGTACCCAAGGGGGCCATGGGGCCCTGAGGGGCGCCCTGGTTACCTGAGGGTCCCCCTGATCATCTGAGGGTCCCTGGTTATCTGAGGGGCCCCTGGTTATCTGAGGGGCCCCTGGTTATCTGAGGGGCCCTTGGTTATCCGAGGGGGCCTGGCTACCTGATTGGTCCCTGGTTATCTGAAAGACTCCTAGTTTCCTGAGGGGCCCCTGGTTACGGGGGCCCTGGTTACCTGAGGGACCATGGTTACCTGAGGGGCCCCTGGTTTCCTGAGGGCCCTGCTTACCTGAGGGGCCCCTGCTTACCTAAGGGGCCCTAGATTGTCTGAGAGCCCCTGATTATCTGAGAGGCCCCTGGTTACCAGTGGGGCCAATTGGTATATGAGGGGCCCCTGGTTACCTGATGGGCCCCTAGTTATCTAAGGGGCCCCTAGCTACCACCTGAGGGGCCCCTGATCCCCTGGCCAGTGTTCTGAAGAAACCCTGGTCACCTGAAGGGCCCATGTTTACCCGGGGAGTAGGTACGGGGACCCGCAGTTGCTACAGTACACGAACCCCAAGTCTGAGAGCCCCTGTCTAGTCTAGTCTAAGTCTAACCGTCTATCCTGTCCAGTAACAAGTGATAACATTGATATCGATTGCCCGTCCCTGTACAAGAGCAGCTGAGGTTTTCTGTGCGTGTCCTCTGACAGCTTATCGTTGTTCCCTGTGAGGGTGCTGGGACAACATACTCAGGGTCGCTGTACATACAGTAGCAATTGCGGGTCCCCGTACCTGGTTATATGTATGAAGGGCCCTTGCAGTCACATAAAGGCCCTTAGTTACCCTTGGAGCCCTGGTATAACCGTCCCCTGGTTATCAGAGGGTCCCCTGGTCACCTGGTGGGTCCCTGGTCAATTGAAAGACCCCTGGTCAATTGAAAGGCCCCTGGTCACCTGAGAGGCCCCTGATTACCTGAACGACCCGTGATCACTCGGATTTAATGGTATGGCCAGGGGCGAGGGGGCACGTGTCCGTTATAGGGTTTAGGGTCCCCTCGGGCCCGAGAGGCCCTGCGGTGCCAATTGGCGGCAGAGGGCCCGCGCTGGCTACGCTTCAACTGGAAAGGAGACCACAGGGCTTGTGAGAACACCCCATGGGCTCGTGTGTAGCCACACTTATCTCCAGAAGGGCCTCACGCCAGGTTCTGAGGGACCTGGCCGGCCCTGAGGGCTCTTGCCGGCCAATACGGGATCAGCTGTAAGGGCCCCATACCCGTTTGCTATGCATAGGCACAGAGGGTTCTGTGCTGAGCGCCTGAGTATGGCGGCCGCCTTTGTGTAGCGCTCTCGACCTTTTCGTGTTATACGGTGTTCCCAGACGTCATGTACCGTCATGGCTCCGCACGCGGCTCTACAAGGTCTGTGACTATCGTTCGTGATTGTGTCTGGGGTGGCGTGACTCTGTTTTCTACCGTAATTTTGCATGTTTACAAATGCACTTTGCGGGACGAGTCACGCTCGGACCACCGGCATTCTACCGGTTCTCGGAGTGGTCTACCGAAGCTCTCGACCAATCAATGGACGTTCCCGGATTCTACCGTCTCCACCATCATCTGGCCTGCGCGCTGGCGTCTGCGCAGCTCTGGCCGCGACACGGGCCGGGTCAGCGGCGCAGGGGCGGCCCCGGGTGCACCACTCGGCGGCACCACGCGCGCCGCTCCCCTCCCCCGCCGCTGTCCGTCATCTGACAGCCGAGTGGGCCTGGCGGCCGCTGCTCCGACCCCAGTGGCAGGTCGCCCGGCCGAGCCGCCCCTGGTCGGCTGGCTCCGTGACGGCTCAGCTCGCCGCCCGGCCGGCTCCGCGAGCTTGCCCGAGACCCGCCGGGTGGTCGAGCCGGCCAGGCGCGTAACCACCACTGGGGACACTGGGGACCGGTCCCCAGTAACTTTTGGGATACTGGGGACCGTCCCCAGTAAACCGACGACCTCCTGAATTTGCTTAAATAGCCAAATATTGTCTCTAAATCGACGTGAAGAGTAATATGTAGTCAACGGAAGATAAAACTATGGATGTTTTGTTTAGCCAGCGCCCGGGTGGGCCTCTCAGCCAACCTCGCCACGGTGGGGGGGGGGGGGCTTTTGGCCACACCAGATTATCTCGGAAAGTAAGCAAGCTAGAAAGGCGCGGTGAAAAGCAACAGATAGCTCGCTACAGTATCTTTCAGAATTAGGTACCTATGTCATTTTTGATCAGGCCATCGCTGAGGTCTTTGTAGGTCACCAAAAGTAAAATTTTAATTAACCTTTGCTCCCAATTTTGACAACTTTTCACAAACCGGTGCATAAGTCAGGAACCAAATAGGTAGAGCTGCAGTGCTGCTGCTGCTGGAAAGCGCATTCGATAGCTCTTTCAAAGGCCTTTCTGAGTAATGTTCTCAGATTTTACCTAGGGTCAACGGTTTAGCTTCCAGGTTGGCGTTTTTGCGGAAAAGGTTTTTGTATCATAACTTTTGACTTGAAACTTGTATGAGTTATGACGCTGATTTTACCGGCATCGCGTTTGTTTCGTCGAGACGGG